CTTTCAACTTTTACAGTAGTAGTATGAGTATTGTAAAAATCGAGGGTTCGGCTCCACGAGTGGGACAACAAGTTCCTTCATTCGCTTCGGTGGTAAATTGGTGCTGGCACATGTCACGGGACCAAATCCTTGCTTCCAGGCAATACCCGAAAGAGGAAGCCATCGAAAGCCTAGCCAGAGGATTCGTACCACTTCGGAGTGAAAGTGGAATATAAAAAGTTTTCCCCCTTACCATTGCCAAAAAATCCGATTTCCCTTTCGCCTCCTTCCCCTCCATTTCCTTCCCTCGCCCCCGCCTACTGAACCCAGAAGCCAAGTGTCCCACTACTGTTATTATAAACTGGATAGTCAGCTCAAGAGTGAAGAATGCCTGGAGTGTGAGAGCACTCCAGAAACATCGTTGACATCGAATCTGCATACCGACTGTCCGATCGATCACAACAATTTGAGAAACCGAAAGTGTATGGCTTACCAATGATGCCATTCCCTGTATTTGGGATCTTTGCGTGATGGCGCGTCAGGATCTGAAAATACACAAGCGACACATACGCTATGGTATTTCAAACCACGGGTGTTGCTTACCTGTCATAACAAGAGTGTACAAGCTGTTCGAATCTGCTTCCCAGGACACCTTCGGACGATCTTTCACTTGAGTTGGTGTCAGTTCGTTACCAAAGTCCACCTAAAACACAGAACATGCAATCAATTGTACAGTAAGCAATCAGCCAGTTCGTTTACAGCAATTACAATCACACAGCCCGTGTTAAGGGTGCGAAACGAATCTCTGAATTTATTCTGCCACGATGTTTTAGCGCAGAGCCAGAACAGATAGCCCCGACTATAAAATGATGCAGTAATCCTGATCAATTATCCTGGCTGAGTTATTCAGAAGGAGCGATCTGACTGGATATCCTGAAGCAGCGTTCTGGTCGCTCTAGTCGAGTTATCCTGACCAAGTAATTTGTTCGGATATCCTGAACCAGTGGTCTAAATCGGAAGCCCTGATCCAGTGAACTGTTCGGTTATTCTGATTAAGTATGTTAGTCGAGAGCCCCGGCCGAGCGACTTGATCAAACATTCAGATCGAATTATTCCGGCGAGCACGCTGATCGGAAGCACTAACTAGATGTTCCAACCCAAAGTCTGCACACCCTGCCTGGTTCGAATGCTCTGGCTAACAAAACTTAACGTGCAGTTTAGGCTTCAGCAGTCGTAAACAGTTTTCAATAAAAACTGCAAGTGGAGTGAACGATGGGGGAGGCAGTACCGTGCACCTCTTTGATGGGCTCGACAGCTGCCAACAAAAAAGACGCGACGGCTGCATCAATTTTTAAAAGTCATTTTCGAGAGAAAATAAAATTTCGTCAAAATGGCACGTACCCTCCTCCCATGCATCATAATTCAAGTCTCACCGCATCCAGGAGCAAGGGGAGGATAAAAATGAGGCACTCTCCTCCTCCGGTCCCTCCCAACCAACAGCTGCTCATCGTTGATGGTTCCCTCCCCTAACGACTATCCGACAGCACGTTCACGCTTATTCACCATTGATGGTTTTCGAGCCATTCAAAACTCCCTGTTACAGGATGGCACCGCACTGATGCCTTCCTTAATGCACCACAAACACTTTTTTTAAAAAGTTGAAATTTGGCGAAATAGTGCGTGCACAAATTTTTAATAACCCAAATTTGAGGAAACGAAACGAATGTCGAAGCAATTGGAGAAGCTGTCACATGTACAGATGGAGAAAGACTGCAGTTGCACGAATTCGCTAATTGTTTTGGCGCCTATCCTTATGAAATTTAGATCTCTGCAACTACAAAACCAGTCTCTCTACGATTCGTACATTCGTTTTGATGGCAGACTGATACTGTGATTCACATCGGGAAGTTAAAAAAAAAGAAATTCGTAATTTCGCTTGCTACTAAGTAACCTTTAAAAGAGGAAGTCATCGTCAACCTTGTCAATGGGTAGTAGCTGACCCCCGCCTTAAATTTATCACTCGGGCTATTTCCGGATACCTCTTTCAATCATACAGAATGGCAGATGTGTAGGGGATTCTGAGTTAGATTTGCACGGATACCCTTCGACCCGCTTTGCTTACTTTAAGTCCATTGAATTCCACATCGATCTGTTTGGTGGGCGCCACGGAAACAACATCCGGTACCACTCCGTGTTTTTTGAAGGCCGCTTCCACTGGCATTTCACTGCAACACAATGAGCAAACGCATAAATGCAGACAACCAACTTTTAAAATATTGGTAGGAAGAATTGATAAGTCGCAAAAAAGCTCCACAATGAGAGATTACCAAGACTGCCTGGGCAGTCTTATATCAGTGATGTTACTGGGATGCTCCTACAAGTTCCGTGCAACTGTGTCAAACCGTCCGATCCTGAGTTGCATAACTGCAGTTAGTACGCGCCGCCTGTCCGATACTTGTGAGGCAGCGCTTCGGGGGCCGCTCGAGTGGATGCTTACTTGCTGGTAGGTATCAAGAAAAAATTAGCAGATAAGTGAAAGGATGGCATCGAAAGGTGGTAGCAGCAGCTGTGCACTTTCCTATAATGCGCAATGCGCCGGGATGGCAGCCGATCCGGAATGAGTAATAGCAACAGCACTTTGTCCCGGATGTTACAGGAAGCAAAAAATACCGAAGCAAGTGTGTGCGTGTGTGTGTGTGTATGTGTGTGTGTGTGTGTGTGCGTATGTGTGTGTGTGTGTCCGTGTATGTGTGTGGGAGAGTGTATGTGTGTGTATGAGAGTTCGTGTTTGTGTGCGCTCGTATCTGCGT